GGCTGAGGGTGAAGGTCCCAGATTCAATCCCTAGTACCCTCCCCCCCAAAAAATTGCAGTACTTCTGTAATAGGTGAAAAACAACAGCAACAACTAACTGTCCATCATTAAGGAATAAACTACACTGTAGTTTAATTAAACAATGCAATTCAAGCTGGGTTGCTGGTGCATGCCTGTAATCCCGGCACTCGGGAGGCTGAGGCAGGAGGATCACTGTGAGTTCGAGGCCAGCCTGGGCTACATAGTGAGTTCCAGGTCAGTCTCAACTACATAGTGAGACCCTTGTCTCAAAAAACAAAACAAAAAAATAAATAAATAAAAATAAAAAATAAACAATGAAATTCATAAATTTATAAGCAGTTAAAATGAATGAATTAGGGCCGGGGATTTAGCTCCGTGGTTCTACTGCCTGCCTCACAAGCACAAAGACCTGAGTTCGATCCTCGGTGCCAAAAAAAAAAAAAAAAAAAAAAAAAAAAAAAAAAAAAAAAAAAAAAAGAATGAATTAGATTGATATGCATCCAAACAATAATTCTCAAAAGTCATGTCAAGTGAAAAAAGAAAAGGAAGAGGTGGGGTGTAGCTTAGTGGTTAAGTATTTTGCCTTAGGAGGCTCTGGGTACATCTTTAGCACCTACAGGAAAAAACAAAACCAAACCAAAAAGGGGGAAATTATATAGGGACAGATACAGTATATTGAAAAAAAGAAAAATAATTGGTATTTTTTTTTCATCATCCTTACTGAAAAAACTCTTGATCTGACTCTTCTTTGTGAGACAGGGCCTCCCTCTTTAATTCTGTAATTCAGGCTGGTCTCGAACTATTGACAATCCTCCTGCCGCAGTCTCAAGTGCTGGGAATCCAGGTGTGTGCCAACACACTCGGCTTTGATTTGACTTCTTCAACAGATGTATGGTGTTCCATCTACACTCACTGAAATCTCTCCTGTCTTTTGGAGATCAAATTAGATGCCACTTTTTAAAAGAAGTTTTCCTTGATTAATCCAATCTGAGGCAATCATCTCTTCTTTGACTGAAATGTGACTCTTTATGCATGTCTTACACATACTAGAATATGAATTTTTTAAAGTCGAGGCACTGATTTAAACAAGTCTGTATCCAATTTAATAAACAGCCACTGTGCTACTCGAAAAGGATAAAAAGCTAGAGACATGGTGCCTGTCTCAAGGACAGCGAGAGCAAGAGCTTACTGATCTAGTAGGGGGAGATAAACATGTAAGTACTGTACAAGAACGGTAAGAGTTATGAGAGCAGCACAGACTATTATGGATAACAAAAAAGAGCTGTATAACGCCCAGAGCCCTCCGAACAGCCTTATTTATACTTGTCCAAGGCATCTGGTAGAGGCCAAGGAAAGAGGGATGCTTGCTGTACAGTGGAGCAGACAGGCCCCAGGAACACAATCAGATGAAAGTAGGTGCCCCCTCGGGGAGAAGCTCGGGATGGGAAGGTGGAGGGAACAGAAAGGGCGTCTCGGAGTGGCGGGGTTGGAGCAGCACCCAGGGAAGGTAGGCCGTCCCGAGGGGAGAGGGGAGAACTGCCTAGACCGGGGTGAACACTATACCTTTCTCATTTCGGACTGGGACGGCTCCGGCCGTAGACTGAATGGGCGGCTGCTTCATGAGTGAACTTGGGACAGACATGTTGACGGCAGCGGCGACGACCCTCTCAACTTGACGGATTCCAAACTCTGAACACCTAGGACAGGAAAAAAATCTCCTTCCCCGTAGGTGAGCCCGACACTGCTGCGCGACGGATAGAAGCCACCTAGGCGGAGCTAGAGAAGCCGGAAATGCATGACTAGAGGATTGTGGGACGTCGGCGGACTTTCCCCGCCCAGCTACCGAACGGTCTTCTCTGTTGCGGGGGTTCACCTGGGCCCGCGAGTCCTTTGTCGCTGGTGGGACATTGCCAGGCTTTGAGGCGAATAGGGTTCGAGTTAAAAGATTTCACATGATAAGCCGGACGTGGTGGCTCAGGCCTGTAAATCACAACATCCAGGGTGAAACAGGAGAGTCAAGTTCGAGTCCTGCACTGTGCAACTTAGTGAGATCCTGTCTCAAAATAAAAAACAAAAGACTGGAGATGTAGCTCAGTGGTAGAGCCCTCCCAATTTTGGATCCCAGCACTGAAGCAAAGCAAAAGAAAAGCAAAACGGAGGAGAGGCCGATGCATGCCTGTAATCCCAACCACTGGGGAGGCTGAAGCAGGAGGATCACAAATTCTCTGCTGGTCTGAACAATTTATGGCAATGCTGTCTCAAAATTGTAAAAATAATAAAAAGGTAAGGGCTTAGATCAGTGGTATAACACTTTCATGTGTGAGGTCCAGGATAATCCCCAATATGACAAAAACAATAGTAAACAAATAAACATCTGAGGAAATAGTGAGGTACTATTTGTCTAAACTGTTCAAAGCTGAGTTTGATTGAATACAATTTTTACTACAGGGCTGGGGATTTAGCTCAGTGGCACTGTGCCTGCTTGTGTCAAAGTGCAAGGTCCTGAGTTCGATCCCCGGTACTGGGGTGGAGTGGGGTGGGGCTCTTCCTAGGTTGATGGTGGTACATGCCTGTGATCCCAGCACTCAGGAGGCTGAGCCAGGACAATTGCTGCGAGTTTGAGGCCAGCCTGGGCTACAAAGCGAGACCCTAGCTCAAAAACAAAACAAAACAATCCAGGAAGTCTTCCTAATTAGTTCATTTGATGGAGCTGCTGTGAGCTGGGTTGTGGCATTTGGTAGTTGCCTAAGGAGGGCAGGTAGTTGTGATTTAAATCAGGGATAGCACACACATGCGCACACCCAACAAACACTACCTAAGGGCCTGAGAAATATCACCTGAAATCCTAACTCCACTTTTGTTTTTTTTAAATGATAGCAACGTTTTATATTTATTAAGGAAAAGAAACAGGCTCTGCAGAGCAAATTTTGGCCAACTAAAAGTAGAAAAAGAAGGGCTAGGGATTTAGCTCAGTGTACTGCTCCTGCCTCACAAGCACAAGGTTCTTTGTTCTACCTCTGGTACCAAAAAAAAAAAAAAAAAAAGTAGAAAAGAAGTTACACCCTACAGGGTGAGGGTGGGCCATGGGCCACAGAGAACACGGTGGACTAGTACTCAATTTTCACACTTTCATTATCTATTATCCTATTAAAATATTATCATTATTAAAATTATTATTAATTATTAATTAATAATTATCATTATCCTATTAAAATACATTCATGGAGCTGGGCATGGTGGCACATGCCTGTAATCCCAGCACTCAGGAGGCTGAGACAGGAGGATCACTGTGTGTTTGAGACCAGCCTGTGCTACATAGTGAGTTCCAGGTCAGACTCAACTATACAGTGAGACCCTATTTCAAAAAACCAAAACAAACAAACAAAAAAACATTCATGGTTGGGAAGTGTATTTAATTTCTTAATGACTGAGTACTTGTGTTTACAGGGATTTTGATCCCTGGTATCAAAAAACAAAACAAAACAAAACCAACTTGTAGAATAGCAGAAGCAGTCTCAAATTATACCTGGGTCATATAAAAAAATTGGTGAAATAGGGCCAAGGATTTAGCCCAGTGGTGCTGCTGCCTGCCTTACTTCATCATAGAAATGACTTTTTTTTTTGAGACAGTCTTGCTTTGTATTCCAGGCTGGCCTTGAACGCCCTATCACAGGTGTGTGCCCCCACACCCAGCTATAAGAAACCGTGTAACTACTGTGTGGTGGGGAAAGAGAAGAGCTAGCATGACAGTCTTTTTTGGGGGGGATACTGGGGAATCGAACTCAGGTCCTTGCACTTGGGAGGCAGGCGGCAGAACCACTGACCTAAATCCCCAGCCCCTAGCATGATCGTCTTGATGGCCAGAAATAGTATAGCACATATGGGACAATATACAAAATGTTTAATGAGTAATTTATTATTTTAACTGGGGGTTGAAACTCAGGACCTTGTGCTCTCAAGGCAGTGGCAAAACCACTAAGCTAAACCTCCGATCCTTAAAGCTGCTTGAGAAAGGCTCTTGCTGTTAGTTCATGCTTGCCTCGAACTCCGGGCAATCCTGCCTCAGCCTCTTGAGTGGTGGGATTACAGACGCGCACCTCTGCGCTCAGCAGTCAGTAATTTTTTTGAGTCAAGGAATGGTTAGTTTCATGGGTACCAGATCCTGGAAGGCCTTCAAGGTGCTACTAATGTTATCAAATTAATTTCACCGGTACTCTAAATCTGCCCCCCCCCCCCGCCACCCCGGCCGGGAAAAATGAAATTGGTAGGTCTCAAACTAAGTTATTCTTTCTTTCTTTCCTTCCTTGCTTTCTTTCTTTCTTTTTGGTACTGGGGCTAGAACTCGAAACTTTGCGCTTACAAGGCAGGCAGTGATGCCACTGAGCTAAATCCCCAGCCCTTCAAGCTAAGTTTAAAGGGGAGTCAATTTGGAACCAAGGAAGCTAGAGAGATTAGATAGTATTTGTTAGCCCGGCCTGGTGGCACCTTCCTGTATTCCCAGTACCTGGGAAGGTGAGGCAGGAAAACTGCAAATTCGAGTCCAGCCTGGGCAATTTAACAACTCAGTGAAACCCTATCTCAAAAAATTAAAAAAAAGGTGTGAGGATGTAGATCAGTGAGAAAGCCCTGGGTTTAATCCCGAGTATGGCAAGAGAAAAATCCAAACAGCTAACATGTCCCCTGCCTCAGAAGGTAACCCAGTGGTCACGGTACGTGCTTCTCTTGAGGGTAGGCGGGTGAAGTGCATGTCGGCTGATTTCCTTCTTCCATGGGCAGCTGTGTCTTGAGTCTTTTCCCGGCTTACGCTGCATGGCGGTGTTTACCCTTCACCAGAAAGCGCGAGCGCGAAGTAACCAGACCCCTTAAGGCCCTCGCCAGTCACTAGACACGCTACCGCAGCGGGTCAGGCCACGCCCCTCCTTCCGGTCGAGGCATTGACCCCGCCCAATTTCCGTCCCTGCTCGCCCCGCCCCCGCCCGCCCCCGCCAAGTGCCCGGCTCTCGCCCGCCGCCCTCCGCGCGCGTTTGGCGGGAAGATTTGGCAGTCACCTGTGGGAAGATGTCGCGGCCTTTCGCGGACGGAGAAGGGAAGGTGGGCACCTGGGTGCGGACCGAGGCGCAGGGGAGGCGGCTGCGTCTTGTACTCGGGAGGTTTCTGTGAAGCCCTCAGCGCGGAGTCCGGCCCCCTCCCTAATGCTAGAGATAGTGGTTGGTTCGGACTGGGCCCTCACTTCTCCAGCCCGTCCCCTTCCAAGGCTAGGTCTTTTTGTGTGTGTGTGTGTGTGTGTGTGTGTGTGTGTGTGTGTGTGTGTGTGTGTGCGTGCGTGCGTGCTAGGTCTTTGTGTGTGTGTGTGTGTGTGCGTGCGTGCTAGGTCTTTGTGTGTGTGTGTGTGTGTTAGGGATTGAACCCAGGGTCTTTTTGTGTGTGTGTTGTAGGGATTGTGTGTGTGTGTGTGTGTGTGTGTTAGGGATTGAACCCAGGGTCTTTTTGTGTGTGTGTTGTAGGGATTGAACCCAGGGCATTCACCCTGGGCTCCATCCCAGCGCGTTTATTTATTTACCTTACACTTATTTATTTATTTATTTGGCACTGGGGAGCTTGCAAGGCAGGCAACAAAACTACTGAGCTAAATTCGCAGCCCTTATTTATTTACTTTAAATTTTGAGACAAGGTCTTCCAGAGTTGCCCAATCCGGGCTAAGACTTGTGATCCTTCTGCCGGTTAATAAGTGATGATCTAGATTTTGGAGGGGAAAGGTTTCCTTAGAGGCCATCCACTTGAATGATGTTGTCAGTAGGAAACAGGAGTTAATTTGTTTTCACAGACCTGTTAAGGACCCTATGAAAAAGGCTTTGGACCCGGGATTCTAATTGTTTTCCTTTATTGACTTGAATAGGTGAATGAATTTAAAGAAAATCAAGATGTCACTTATGCATGTCTGAGACCAGTACAAACTACAGTTTTAGGAAAAACAGCTAAGGTTTATCTTACCCCCTTCTCACTCAATGATTACAAGCTAGAGCAACTCAAGCACTCCAAATCTCTATCGGAAAAGAATTCCAACTACATGATGGTATGTCAGAAGAGTGAACCGAAGAAAACTTGTGAAGAAATTTTAATTCCAAAGATGAAAGTCATCCCTTCCAAGGCAGAATCCACTCTTCAAAAATTGTCCTTAGGTGTTCATGATGAAAGCAACAAGCCAGGACACAAAAGCCCTTCAGCTGCTGCCATTCTGAGTGCCGACATGGAGAGCAGTGATGAAGACATCACACCAGGCGTGGTAAGAGCTCAATTAGTTTGTTCCAAGTTTCCTTACTGTTTTGAAATTTGTCAAGAGTCTCTAGGGAAATGAAACTATTTTATCACCTAAAGTTTTTTTTTTATTTTTTTGTGACACTGGGAATTGAATTTAAGGCCTTTGCGCTGAACCACATTCCCAGTCCTTTTCTGTTTTTTTTTTTTTATTTTTATGAGACAGTCTTGTTAAGTTGCCCAGGCTGGCCTCAAACTAGTGATCCTTATGCATCAACTTTGAAGAGTGCTTTTATTACAGTACGTGCCACCAGGCTCAACTAGTATCTAATTCTTTTGGCTTCTACAGCCTACCACGAGTATTGTGACAACTTTCATACAGGACAAGATAAAATATGACGTGACAAAAAGTCAATGGAAGTAGGGAAACAAAATAAAGTTAGGGAAGGGGAGGTATGTTAATAGAAAAGTTATTATGAAATAGCAATTTGATTTTTGCTTTACTGTCCCAGAAGTAAGAACCAGAACCCATGGAAGAGAGCATGGAGTCAGTCATAAGTGCCTTAGACCAAGGGTTGCATAACCATAGCATATTTGTCCAATGAAGAAATTAACCATGGTACAATATTGTTAATGGAAATCTAGACCTTAATAGGATTTCACCAAATTTTCCAGTCATTTTTCTGTTCTACTACCTGGATGCGTCTCCATAGTCTCCACCAGTGTGTGTTAGATCTGAAGAATACTGGACAGTTATTTTGGATAATGTCTTTTATTTTGGGTTTGTTGCTTTCTCATGATTAGGCTAAGGTTTTGCATTACTGGGAAGGATCCTACACCATTTTATGTAATATCTCAAGTAATTTATGAAGAGCAGAAGTTTGTTTACCTCATGGTCTGGAAATGCAAGAGCTCAGCACTGGCCTTTGCTCAACATGCACTGAGGGTCTTCCTGGAGCATTGTCACTTGGCAAGGCAGAGTACATATGCCAGAGTGAGAGCGTCTCAAGTTTATGGCAGTTACCCATTTGAGAACCCACTGTCCTGTTGATCTGTGACTGGATTACCAATCTTCCTCACTTTTTTTTTTGGTTACTGGGTTGGAACTCCAGACCTTCCGCTTGTGCGGCGGGTGGCGCCACTGAGCTAAATCCCCAGCCCACATTTTTTTTTTTTTTTTTTTTTTTT